ATATGACCGACGCCAGCGACGAGGGCTTCGGAGCTGTTGCGACGAAGTCGAGCGTGGAGGAGATCAGGGACGAGCTGGACCGTGGTGCCGAGCAGGTGTGGCAGATTCGAGTAGGGGAGACGCACGCGGAGATAGAGGACGAGGTGAGCAAGGAGGGCTTGGAGGAGGACGAGATGATGCACCCGAGCGAGGGACGTCCTGGTATACTTACGCTGGAGCAGGGCTTGCTGGACCTGAAGGGGGACCTCGGGGACCAGGTGAGCGCTTGGATGGAGGACGTGCGCATGGGGGAGTTGATGGACGTGACGGTGGTGGAACGGCTCTTCAGCCGACTGCGGAGGCGGTGGTACTGGATCTGCCACCTCACCTTGTTCCTGGACACCTTCTCGGACGACTACTACAGGGACTCGCGCACGCCCTGGGGTTACGAAGGGCTCAGCGAGGGTATGCAGCGCAAGGTCGACGAGGACAACTACATTGCTCAGGTGATCATCGAGGTCGCCAGGCTCGCGGTCCGCGAGGGTTTGGGCTTCATTATCTTGGGACCCGTGGCGGTGAAGATGCTGGAGTGGGCACCCTGGGACAGGCTCGCCGAGACGGAGGGCGTTTTCTCCCTGGAGGTGGGCGAGCTGGTGGTGCTGACCAACCTGGCGGGGCTCGTGGACAACGGAGGGCTATGGGACGAGTTCCCGCTGACCTCAGGCGTCGCCGTCAGCTATGGGGACGTCTTTCTGGAGCACTACGCCACGAGGTTAGAGCAGCTCGACTACACCTGGAGCGAAGTACCAAAGGGGGCGCAGGTGCGACTGCGACGGGGTCGACCGCGGGTGGTGCGGAGCAGGGGGCAGGTGATGCCCATCGGAGCTTCCTGGGTCGACGAGTCGAGGTGGTACGAGCTCTTCAGGGGGCGTTGGGAGGCGGAGGAACACAACAATGTGCTGGAGCTGCGGTGCGTGGTGAGCGTGCTGCGACATCTGGCGAGATCTTCGAGATGCTGGCACAAGCGAGTGGTGATCATGACGGACTCTGTGGTCTCCATGGGCGTGCTGCAGAAGGGTCGTTCATCAGCGACGTCGCTTTTGAGGTTGGCACGAGTGGCATGTGGCATCGCGCTGGCATTGGGCATCAGAGGTTACTACCGGTGGGTGCCCAGCCAGTGGAACATGGCCGACGGCCCGAGCCGTGGTGTCGACATCGGCGCAGCGGACGAAACGAAGCAGGCGCACAGGATGAGGACGACGCCCAAGGCGGCGCGGCCGCTGCTGCAGGTGCTGGAACGGCGGCGGTGACCCGCGGGACCTTGGCGGTGCGTCTGGGGCTCGACTACCTTCTCAGCAGGGAGGCCTCGGCCTCCCAAGCGAGAACGTGGCGGCCTTGGGCGTCTACCTCGGCGACGTGGGTCGCTACTGCTGCCACATCGGGAGCTACGGCGACTGCGGGAAGGTGCTGCAGGGCTTCGCGCTGGGCTGCCGCTGGCGGCGACGCTGTTTCGGCGGCGAGGAGCGGCGGCAGGATGTCCCTCTGGGTAGTGCTGGTGGTGACGCTGCACGTGGCCAGTGGCGCCCGCAGGGGGGCGTCTGCACCGCCGCTGCAGAAGCGCGGCGCACGCGCCTGGCAGCAGGCCAAGCAGGACCGCCCTCGGTGGAACAACAGGTTGGTGGTCCACGCGGTCGACGACTCCACCAACGTCGTCTACGAGCGGGAGGTCAGGGCCTTCCTCGTCGACTGCAAGCGCGGGGAGGTGCCGTTCACGACCCTGGAGCAGAGGGACCGCGCGCTGGGGAACTACATCAGCGACCTCTGCTACCTGAGGGGTGACAACTACATGAAGGCCTCCCTCGCTTTCAATGGCTTCATGCATATCTTCGAGGATCATCGAGGGAGGCTCCCGACAGCGCACCGTGCGCTGAAGTCGTGGGAGCGCATGCAGTTCGGAGGCGAGGGCCACCCGATCCCGTTCCAGGCGATGGGGGTGATCATCACAAGGATGCTGGAGATGGGGCACCTGCTCGAGGCGAGTGCCTGCATCGTGCAGCTGGACGGCTGGCTTCGGGAGCAGGACTGGGAGATGCTGCGGGCCAAGCACGTCAGCTTCACGCCCGACGGCGGCGTGGGCCTCAAGCTTGGCGACCGCATGATGGGACAGAAGACCAAGACGGGCGCCAACCAGGGTGCCGTGCTGGAGTGGCCACTGTCGAAGCTCTTGATGAAGGTGCTGGTCCAAGATCGGGAGCCTGATGACCAGGTCTTCCCTTTCACCCAGCCGAGCTTCCGCAAGGTCTGGATGAAGACGCTGAAGGCGGTGGGCCTGGAGACCATGGGGCCGCCGCACGGCATGCGCCACGCGGCTGCGGCCCGCTTCGTGGCGCTGAGCGGCGACCTGGAGGCGGCGCGCAGGCGGGGCCGCTGGGCTTCCACCGCCGGCCTCCAGCGCTACACCAAGTGCCACGCGCTGGTGGAGAAGCTCAGCGAGCTGGACGGCACGCAGATCAAGCAGGGCTGTGCCTTCTGGCGCCGCCCGCGCCAGGCGGTGCACGACGCCGTCGTGAGAGGGCCAGGCGCGGGGACGCCTCTCGGCAGACGCATCGTCGGTGCTCTTGCGAGCGCCCGTGGCCGTGAGGTCCCCGTCGCAATGTACGGAGCGACGTAGGCAGCTCCCTCTTCCCACCTAATGATATCGAGCCAAGTCTGGAGAGGGGGTTCCTTGGGGGGAGGCCGTGAGGTTTTAAGCAAAGCTGTAAGGTTATCTGCCTCGCTCTCCCACCCACCCGTGTCGCCCGTGCTCGGCAGTCTTTTCTTTTGAAGGCCTTTGGCCAGTGGCCCAGTAGGGTCGGCTGGGAGGGGTCGAAAAAGTTTTGTGGTTTGGCCCAGGTCGAAGGCTCAGGTAGCTGGCCTGGGTTTATTGCTGTGCTCATGCAGCCAGCTGAGCTGCTCTCTTTTTCTCTGAAGAATTTCTGGGGTTGAACACCCCCTCGGCCCGCGCCCTGGTGCAAATATCGTCTCGTCTGCATCGGTCTGTTGTGTTTGCAGTATTCCTGCCAGCCCTCTCGGGCTCTGCTCCGCCTATCCCCCCTCAAGGGTTTTCTACCCCTCCCCCAGACTGGCTCTGAGTATAGGGTTCCCGTGTAAATAGTTGTTCTTGAACTTTATTTTACACTACCCGTCGTAGTCTGTTAGCCGCCCTTTCCCCCTCCGTCCCCCTCTGCCCCTCTGGGCTCAAGTCGGCCCCACCGCACCCTCCCTTTGGGGAGGGGTCGAAAAAGTTTTGTGGTTTGGCCCAGGTCGAAGGCTCAGGTAGCTGGCCTGGGTTTATTGCTGTGCTCATGCAGCCAGCTGAGCTGCTCTCTTTTTCTCTGAAGAATTTCTGGGGTTGAACACCCCCTCGGCCCGCGCCCTGGTGCAAATCTCGTCTCGTCTGCATCGGTCTGTTGTGTTTGCAGTATTCCTGCCAGCCCTCTCGGGCTCTGCTCCGCCTATCCCCCCTCAAGGGTTTTCTACCCCTCCCCCAGACTGGCTCTGAGTATAGGGTTCCCGTGTAAAAGAAGCGGCAAAAGCTAGCCGACAGCACAGCGGCACCAGCCACTGCCAGCTAACCTTTAGCCCCCATTGGCGGACCTCGAAAGTGACAGAGCCCGCGGCCAGGCGGCGGACGGCAGAGGGGTGCCAGACGCGCTGAGGAAAAGGTGCACCAGCTGGGAGCCGTATGGCCCAGCACAGAGCGCACAGAGACAGAGTCCGCGACCAAGCGGCGGACGGCAGAGGGCGCCAGACGCGCTGAGGAAAAGGTGCACATGCTGGGAGCCGTATGGCCCAGCATGCTCACAGGCAGAGACAGTGCGAGGGTGCAGAGGAGGCCCTCACAGCGGATGCACCCGCTACGACATGGCGGACAAGACATGGCGTGATGGCTCGGGTGCGTGGGGCGGGGCTGAAGCCGCCACCCCCGCCAGCAGGCACGGCGCACCAGGGAACAGCGCCCGGGTGAACAAGGCAGGACGCGCACTTGCGGCGAGGGCGAGGCCGTACCACGCTGGCCAGGATGAGGGCAAAGTGAATGAGAAGCCCCAGCGTTCTTCGCTCTTGAAAAGTACAACGCATTTTGTCCCACCTGTTTGCTCTGAAAGCCAAGCAGTAGATAACGAAGGTGGCCGGCCGGGTTAACGTCACCACATTCAGGAAGGAGGAACAACAAATGCATATATACTGCGTGTGAAGAGTACGCACCAACGACCGAACAACAGGCTTACCAGAAACAAGTATAAACGCAAGATTGGCACATACAAACAACATGCTGGCCGAACCACGCTGGTCAGGATGAGGGCAAAGTGAATGAGAAGCCCCAGCGTTCTTCAAAAGCGTCGGACCACGTGAGAAACTGAAGAAGGAAAACAGTATCAGTGCGCAGACGCTTGAGAGTGGCGCGGTGGATGAGGCCTGCTGTGCGGCCGTGCGGGAGGCCGAGGGCCGCGTCCACGCAGGTTAGGAGCATGTCCGAACTGCGGGCCAGAGTCGGGCGGGGGCCAGGAGCTCTCAGACTCCATAGGCGGAGCTCGATGCATCGGTGGGCAGTCGGCTGCGCGTCGGCCTTTCTCGGTCCGTCGTACTGTGGTCCAGCTTCGCGGAACCAGTGGGTGTGCCTAGCGGGGCGGCGGTCGGGGACCGCCACAAGAGGCGGCAGGTACGCGGCCAACACCCATGACAAGAGGATCCGCTTGGCCCGGCGGAGCGCAGGAGCCGGAGCATCCTGGCAGGGTGGCTCCTCCTGGGCCTGCGCGGCGTCCCCGCCGCCCCCCTCGGCGGCTGCTGCGGCCTTGCGTTTGGCTCTCAGCCTCCTCAGCCTCCTCCTGTGAGGAGGAGGAGGAGGAGGAGGAGGAGGAGGAGGAGGAGGAGGAGGAGGAGGAGGAGGAGGAGGAGGGAGGAGGAGGAGGAGGAGGAGGAGGAGGAGGGGAGGAGGAGGAGGGAGGAGGAGGAGGAGGAGGCTGGGGCCCCTCCCCGCCGAGGACGGCCACCGCTGGGAGGCCGGCCTGGGGCTCCTCCGCGACCTGCGGGGGCCCTCCGCGCCCCCCGGCGGCCTCGTCGTGGCCTACAGCGCCTTGGTGACCGCGGCGGGCCGGGCCCGCAGCTGGCGGCAGGCCGCCCCCGCAGCCTCGGGGGGCAACGACAGTCAGCGAGTTTATACCCCTACGGTGCCACCGTAAGGGTATAAACTTTCTAGCCGCCCTGGGGCAGGTGTCCCCGACGGCGAACAAGTTTATGTTATACCGTCCTTCGCCCGTTAAGATAGGGGGGAGAGCCATGGGTCGAGCAGTGGCGAGGCGTCTTGGCGCGCCTGTAGGCCCACCGGGGACTGCTCTGAGAACCTTCTGTGGTCTTCACGAACTGTTCTTAGAACGTTCCTGGCCAGGACTGTCTTGCTTTGACACATCGGGCTTATGTTACAAAAACGCTGCCTTTGTTATCAGAGCATTTTGGGGGTTCTAAGAACATGTCGTGGTAGGCCTATAGGAATGCTGGGGCGGTCGGTCCCAGCTCAAATAGAGGGGAATGCATCGACCTCCAATCGCACATTGATCGCCGATAGGGGCCCGATAGACCCAACTTGCATAGCAAGGTGCGGATTCACTGTCGGGGGCCTATCGCCGATCTATTGGCGATGTATCGCCGATGCCAAGTCGATGCATCCCCCCATATGCCAGTCCCCCCTATATCGTTTTCCCTCAGCACCCTGCGTGGAGCAAAGCGTTCGACGACACGTAAGAGTGAACCATCGCTGGAGTGACTCTCCCAGACCCCCTCGGGCAATGAAAAAATCATGACGAGAGGTTTTTTAATATTTTCGGCTCCCGGGGGCCCTTACCGGCCCTCGGGACCGTCAAAAAACGATTCAGTATGAAAAGCCGGTCCAGGGGAATGGGTCGAGACCTCCAGGGGTCGACGTAATGAAAAAATCATGACGTCGGGGGTCTGGGAGACTGACCCTTCGCTGGAGTGACCTTTGGTGTGCGCCCACTTGGGCACACCGATCGTCGCGTGCGGTGCGACAGTAGCGCCTTGCGCGCTTGTGTTTCGTCCCTCCGCGGCCATCGAGAAGCCGCGCACCAAAGGTCACTCTTACCCAGGGTCGCTCTTGCGTGTAGCCGAGGCGTCATGATGTCGACTGCAAGTAAGGCCCAGACCCCCTCGGGTCGGGAAAAAAAACACGACCGGAGGTTTTCGGCTTTTCTCTGCCTCTGGGGGCCCTCACCGGGCCTCGGACTCGGGACCGTCAAAAAACGAGTGAGGATGATGAACCGGTCCATGACGTCGGGGGTCTGGAGACCCAGACCCCCTCAGTCATGACAAAGAAATGCGACGGGAGGTTGTTCGCCATTCTCGGCCTCCGGGGGCCCTCGCCGGGTCTCTGGACTGTCAAAAACCGACTCAGGACAAAAAACTGGTCCTGGGGAAGAGGTCGAGACTTGTGGGGGTCGACGTTATGAAAACATTATGACGTCGGGGGTCTGGGCTAGATGCCCACCGCGCTTAGCGACTGGCTCGCGGACTTCTAGACGTTTCGAGCTACTCATAAGGGATTAGCAAGGTACTTCGCTGAGCGGGCTTTAACCTGCTTAGCTATGTCGCCGACAGCGCATTAGACTCGGCCAATTACGAAGTCGCGGCCTCTGGGGCAGGTTACTGGGCCCCTGGAGCTTCAAGAACGGATCCAGGGCGAACAGCTACCCCTGAGGAAGGTGTCGGGAGCTTTGGGGCCGCGGATGGGGAAAGAAAAAATCGTGTCGTTGGATGTCTGGGGGTGAGTCTCCCTGGCGGGCTGATGTTTCGGCCTCGGCCTCCACAGGGGGCCCTGGCCTCCAGCCAGGAGGGCCCGCTCGTTCGACCACTTGCTGGGGACGGGGGCCTACTGATGCGCCTCGCGATTCGATCCAGGGCCGCCATGGCAGCGGCAGGTGTTCAAAAAACTGACGTGGCCTAGCCTTAAGTCCGGCGTGTCCCTCTACAGGAGGAATATCAAATAATAGTCCAAATAGCCTGGGGACGATTTTTGTTAAAGGATGCTTGAGCATTTTTGGAATATGTGTGGACTATGTTTGTCATCTGTCGCCCAAGATCCGCCTGTAGGGGGACAGGCCCGACCGAAGCCTAGCCCCGCAGGCGCATCCAGAAAAAAACCGTGCGGACGCTGGCCGGCATGCGTGTGAGCGCTTGGAGGCCGCAACGCTTCTACGTAAAGGGGGGGCATGCAGGGGGCCCCGCGGCCGCCGGGCCGGGAAGAAAGCAAGGCATCCGACCTCTTGCGGCCCAGGGCCCCTCGGAGGGTCCCCGGGGGCCCGAGTCCCCGCAGGACCCCGCTCCCGCACTCCAGCTCCCTTGCCAGGGGGGCCTCCTCCTCCCTTCCTTTGCCTCATGAGTACTTTCTCACTGTTGCACCCCGACGCCAGTTTTCAGGGCGGGCCGGGCGCTCCGCCTGAGACTTCCTCACCATGTATGGTTCTGAAGCTTCAACATTGGCAACAGGTTCGCAGATGGAGGGCGTGTGGTTTTCAAAATGTGGCTCTCGCCCTAGCGCCGCGCACATTCGTTACCAAAATTCGCAAGAGCTTCGCGGGTTGAGGATCACTCGTTTTCAAAATGTTGCTCTGGCCTCAGCGCTGCGCACATTCGTCTTCAAAATTCGCACGGAGTGAGGATCACCCGCTGAAAAAATGTGGTTCTCGCCCTGGCGCCGCGCACATTCCATTTCAAGTTTTGCAAGAGTTTCACGGATTGAGGGCGGCTCCTTTTCAAAATGTGGTTCTCTCCCTAGCGCCGCGCACATTCGTTGCAACAAATTGCAAGAGTTTCATGGATTTTCCACGATCAATGTACCAGAAATTGTGCTTTGGAAGGATTTTGGATTTTGCGGGTGTGTTGAAATCCCAAACATGGCGTTCTGGCACGATCTTGGATCGTCAAGACGCTATAGCCAGGTTGATCCGTGGCGTTTGAATCCCGAGAACAATGTTTTGGCATGCTTCCGGGCCTTCATACGGGTGTCTTCCAACGAGACAGATCCCTCAATGGAAATGAATCTTGGTAGGGGCCTACGAAGAGGGAGCTTGGAGGCGGGGTGTATTATCATTGATGGCTCTCGGGTTTGCACTGGTCCTCCTCCTCCTCCTCCTCCTCCTCCTCCTCCTCCTCCTCCTCCTCCTCCTCCCCCCTCGGCTCTCAAGTCAGGGATGTAGGTGGTCATGGCCTCCTCCGCCTCGTCGGTAACAGCGCGAGCCGGGGCGCCCCCAAGCCCCGCGGCAGACGGCGCCGCGGCAGGCGCATCTCCCCGATGGTCGCCGCTGGATATGGCCACACCGTGCTGCTCCAGAGCGACGGCACCGCCGTGGCGTGCGGCTCGAACGAGAAGGGCCAGTGCGGCCTCCCGGCGCTGGCGGATGGCCTGAGCTTCACGCAAGTGGCCGCTGGATATGGCCACACCGTGCTGCTCCAGAGCGACGGCACCGCCGTGGCGTGTGGCTCGAATGAGAAGGGCCAGTGCGACCTCCCAGCGCTTGCGGAAGGCCTGAGCTTCACGCAAGTGGCCGCTGGATATTGCCACACCGTGCTGCTTCAGAGCGATGGCACCGCCGTGGCGTGTGGCTCGAATTCGGGGGGCCAATGCGGCCTCCCGGCGCTGGCGGAAGGCTTGAGCTTCACGCAAGTGGCCGCAAGAAAATTCCGTAACGTGCTGCTCCGGAGCGACGGCACCGCCGCGGCTTGCGGCTGGAATTTCAGAGGCCCGTGCGACCTCCCGGCGCCGGCGGAAGGCCTGAGCTTCACGCAAGTGGCTACGGGATTTTACCACACCGTCCTGCTCCAGAGCGACGGCACCGCCGTGGCGTGTGGCTCGAATGCACAGGGCCAGTGCGACTTCCCAGCGCAGGCGGAAAGCCTGAGCTTTACACAAGTGGCCGCTGGAGGTGACCACACCGTGCTGCTCCAGAGCGACGGCACCGCCGTGGCGTGCGGCTCGAATGAGAAGGGCCAGTGCGACCTCCCAGCGCCGGCAGAAGGCCTGAGCTTCACGCAAGTGGCCGCTGGAAATTGCCACACCGTGCTGCTCCAGAGCGACGGCACCGCCGTGGCGTGTGGCTCGAATGAGCAGGGCCAGTGTGACCTCCCGGCGCCGGCGGAAGGCCTCAGTTACGTAGCTCACCTCGTGCCTACGTTGCTCCTGCAGGCATTCGTCGACGGCGAGTCGCTGTGCTTCACGACGCTTGGTGGGGTGGAGCGTTACCGATTTGAGGCCGCACTAGACGCCCGCCTAGCCAACATTCACGAGCAGCTGACGGCTACTCACCGGGTGGACAGGCCTGGCTTACCTCTCGCGCGAGTCGACGCCGTCCTGCTGGGGCGACTGCTGAGCGACGCTACAGCCGAGGAGACAGTGGCGAGCGCCTTCGGGCTCGATCCACGCTGAGACGCCGTGCAGCGTGTGGGCATAGACGCCAAGGCGTCTGCAGAAGTGGCTGCCCTGAGACGCAACGAGTGCGACGTTGGGGAAGAGCACTAGCTTTTCAACCCAGTAATTGGCGCTCCCGCGCTCATGCGCCGCGCGGCGGGGTGGGGGGGGGGGGGGAGAGACCAGGGGGGGATGCTGGAGGGAAGAATGGCCATAGACCCCCCGCCCGCCCCTCAAAAATTTGCAGAGTGCTAATAGATGTTCAGTCGCAGCTCTGGTAGCAGACCACCAGGAGCCTCTGGCCCTGCTGGCAGATCTCGCCTGCGGGGCCGCAGTCGCCGGGACCCGAGGCCAGAAAGGGGGCGCAGGTTGGGCTCGCTGCGTCGGGGCGGTGGGCCCTGACCTTCAGGTCGGGCCTGTCCCTCGACGGGAGGAATCGTCAAAAATAGCCCAAACATAGTATGGATAGGATTTTTCGACTACTGCTGAGTATGTGTATTCTTAATTCTTCGTCCAGAATCCGCCCGTAGGCGGACACGCCCGACCTGACCCTGACCACTGCAGAGCAGTGGGCGAAGCCAGTGCGAAAAGCAAGGGGGGACCGGCGCGCACGCACAACGGGTATGCACACGCGCGCGCGTCGCAGGTCTGTTCCTCCGCCGGCGACGTGACACCGTTCGCGACACGGCGAAGCGCGCGCGCGAGCACACAAACACAAGCACAAGCGCACACACACACAGACGCACACACAAACACAAACGCACACACACACAGAGACACAAACACAGACACAAGCACAGACACACAGACGCACACAAACACAGACACAACCACGAGCACGAACACCAACTCACACACACAAACATAAACACACACACACTTGTTTCATGCCAGCGGAGCAGAGGGTCCTCAGGTGCGAGCAGCAGATGGAAATGCTCTTTGCGATCGAACATGGCCGAAGGCACCGTGTACAAATCGTTGAACACACACACACTTTTCCGTGGGCGGCGAGGCAGGCACACACACACACACACACACGCACACACACACACGCGCGCGCGGGCGCATGCACGCACGCACGCACGCACCCATGCTCACACTCACACACGCACACAATCACAATCGCACACACACACACACACACACGCTCACAGACACACGCGCATTCTTCCCTCATCTGGCGATGTGACCCACGTTCGCGTCTGAAACGAGCGGGCCGCGTTAGCTCAATTGCCATCGGACACAGGTCGATTGCTCTTGAGACGTGGTATGCTGGATGAGTTTGCAGGCCTAGGCGAGCACTGCGAGCATGCAGGCGATGAGACGTTCTGAGGGGCAGCGCGCAGCTGGCGAGCAGCATTGTACGAAGGGTAGAGTGGGCAGGCGGCGGCGGGCCAGCACAAGCACAAGCACAAGCACAAACACACACACACACACACCTACATTTATTCATATATACATATATATAGATGTATATGTATATGTCTACATGTAAGCGTGTGTCCTGACATCCTGGGTGGGGGTATTGCGTTCGCTTGGCACCCCGCGCAGCCCTCCTCCCACTCCCTCTCCTCTCCTTTTGTTGTCACGCACACCACTATCACCATCATAATTGTTATCATCGTTTCACACAGCCACATCACACATACACACTCAAACACTCACTAACGCAGTCACCCACACACACTCGCACAACCACAGACATTCACACGCACGCACGCATGCACGCACGCACGCACACAAACACACACAGACTGCCATCCTGAGGAAGGCTCGAGCGGGAGCCTCGTCTGTGAGTAAATTGCGAGGGCGTCTCGAGCGGGAGCCCCCTCCTCATGGAGCCCCCGCCTCATGTTGTACCCTGCGAAAACCTAGATTCGGTGACACCTGGGAGCCCGAATCTTGAAGAAGGCTCGAGCGGGAGCATCGTCCCCGGGTCCGTGGGGAGGATGCTTCGGGAGAACCTCGTCTGTGAGCGACTCGCGAGGAAGTCTCGAGCCGGTGCCCCTCACGCCCTTTTCCTGCCTTTGATCCAAGGTGGCCATGGGCGTGGACCTACACAGTCGTTGGTTTGATGACACGTGGGAGCTCGAAGAAGCTCGAAGAAGGCTCCTCCTCCTCCTCCTCCTCCTCCTCCTCCTCCTCCTCCTCCTCCTCCTCCTCGAGCGGGAGAATCGCTGCCGAGGAGCCTGGGAGGATCTGCCTCGGGAGCCTCGTCTGCGACCGCACAGCGAGGCAGTCTCGACCGGGAGCCCCCCTCCTAGTGGCCCCCCCCCCCGCCTCGTGTCTCCAATCCGAGGCGGCCATCGGCGTACCCTCTTTTTCGTGTATATATGTATATATGTATAAACATATACAAATATACATATATCAATATATACATGTGTGTATATATATATATGTATTATAGATATGGTCGGCCCTGATTAGTAGGTCGACCCTGTCAAATCAAGGGTGCCCTTAGGTACCCTTGTGTCCTGTGCCTCGCAGCCCATGCCTCCTACACCACCCATGGCAACGTGGCCCTCGGAAGGGTCTTGTGTCCTCTCGCGTGTCCTGTCCACTCAGGGCCGACTGTAAGGTTTGGAGACACCAGGGAGCTTGAATCTCGAAGGCATCTGGATCCACAGCTTCGTTTATTGGCAAATTGGCAGCGCGCCCCGGGCGCTCGCCTGTGAGTGCATTGCGAGGACTTCTTGAGCCACCCCCACCTGTGGCAGACCCCCTATACACCCCGTAGGGTTAAGTCGGGCCTGTCCCTCTGCAGGAGGAATATTCCCAAATAGTTGAACAAAAATAGTCCGGGGACGATTTTTCTACTATTTTTGATCACTGTGGTGTAATGTTTGAATACTTTTAACGTTTCCTCCAAAATCCGCCTGTAGGGAGCTCCTCTGGAGGCCCCCCCAGTGGCAGGGCCTGCATGCGCGCCCTGAGCAGACGAGAACGGCGCAGAGGAGAAGGACCCAGACATCCGGCTGCTCCAATTTTCCCGCTGCATGGGCCCAGGAGGTCCAACCCACTTCCCGAGGCCCGATTTTTCGTCCTGGGTCGTTTGTGGACTCTCCCCGAAGCCTGGCGAGGGCCCCCGGAGGCCGAAAACGGTCCCCAAAGCGCCCGCTCCAGGCTTGTCGTAGCGTCTCTCGGGGGACGGGAAGAGAGTCCCCGCAGTCACAGCGACGAGGACGGCCTCCGGACCAGGGAGCGCTCCAGCACGCCCTTTGGAAGGCCGCGGCGCCCGAGGCGTCCTCCAGAGCCGCCCGACCTCGGAGATTCTCGATTGATCCTCGCCCGATGTTGTCCTCGCCCTGGCCTCGTCTGAGAATGCCCCCGGACCAGCCGAGAGGACGCTTCGTGCGGGGCCCTGCCGTCGGAGAGCGCGCGCAGCAGACATCTTGAGAGAAGTCGTCAATGTTCCTCCTCCTCCTCCTCCTCCTCCTCCTCCTCCTCCTCTCCTCCTCCTCCTCCTCCTCCTCCTCCTCCTCCTCCTCCTCCTCCTCCTCCTCCTCCTCCCCTTCATCTCCGCCTCTCCTTCCGCCTCTCCTCCTCGTCTTCTGTTTCACGGGAGCTTGCGCATCATCTGGGAAGCAGGTTATCTGCCACGCGGCGGGGACGGATATTTCCCAACCATCCTGTGGTGTTGGTTCCTCGTTTTGAAGAGACGGTGCCGCGCGTCTCCTCCTCCTCCTCCTCCTCCTCCTCCTCCTCCTCCACCTCCTCCTCCTCCTCCTCCTCCTCCTCCTCCTCCTCCTCCTCCTCCTCCTCCTCCTCCTCCTCCTCCTCCTCCTCCTCCTCCTCCTCCTCCTCCTCCTCCTCCTCCTCGTGTTCCTCCTCCCTCCTCTCCTCCTCCTCCTCCTCCTCCTCCTCCTCCCTTTCCTCCTCCTCCTCCTCCTCCTCCTCCTCCTCCCTCCTTCCCCTGCTTGCCTTTGCTCTCCGCATGTCCCTGTCTCGGCACACCCCTCACACGTTTCGTGGCCCCATAAGGGGTTTCATATAAGGTCCCAGTGGCGCAGCCCGCATGGCGCCGCCGCCCCATGTTGGCACACTCCGGACACGTTTCGTGGCCCCACAGGGAGCTCCACCTAAGGTCCCAGTGGCGCAGCCTGCATGGCGCCGCCGCCCCATTTTGGCACACCCCTCACACGTTTCGTGGCCCCATAGGGCCTAGGGAGCTACATCTAAGGTCCCAGTGGCGCAGCCCGCATGGCGCCGCCGCCCCATTTTGGCACACCCCTTACACGCTTCGTGGCCCCATAGGGGGCTCCATCTAAGGTCCCAGTGGCGCAGCCCGCATGGCGCCGCCGCTCCATTTTGGCACACCCCTCACACGCTTCGTGGCCCCTTAGGGAGCTCCATCTAACTAAGGTCCCAGTGGCGCAGCCCGCATGGCGCCGCCGCCCCATTTTGGCACACCTCTCACACGCTTCGTGGCCCCATAGGGAGCTCCATCTAGGGTCCCAGTGGCGCCATTTTGGAACACCCTCACACGTGTCGTGGCCCCATAGGGAGCTCCATCTAGGGTCCCAGTGGCGCAGCCCGCTCGGCGCCGCCCCATTTTGGCACACTCCTCACACGTGTGTTGGCCCCATATGGGGCTCCATCTAAGGTCCCAGTGGCGCAGCCGAATTTTGTTACACCCCTCACACGTTTCGTGGCCCCATAGTGAGCTCCACCTAAGGTCTCTGTGGCGGAACTCGCATGGCGGCCCAGTGGAGGAGTTCGCATGGCGGCGACTTTAGGTTTCTGGAGGTTTTTCGTCGTATTCGACGTGTCGAGGCCGCTTTCGGGCCGCGCATCCCGGGCGGGAGCCAGCCTGCTCGCTCGTTCTGCTCCGCGCAGCGGACGGCCCGAGCGCGTCGCCGGGACCCCTTCGGGGCGACCAGCGCGCGTCGGGGGGGCCCATTCGGCGCCGCACCCGCAGCCTTGGACGTGGGCGTGCACGGGCAAAGAAGGAGACGAAGAACGGGAAGGAAGCGGGCGCGATCCTCGTGAGAGGCGCACCGACATGGGCGTCGACA